GTATATTAATTTCCTTTCTTAGTAATGTTTCACGTGTTAAACGTTCTGCTAATTTTCCTGATTTGCCTACAACAGCATTCTATGATAGTGAAACTTTCACATCTAATTATTCTGTAATAGACAAAGAAGGTTCTATAAATGATACAGCAAGAATTCCTATTAAATATAATTACACTGTTCAAGGAAAAACAACACTTACAATTAGACATCTTCGTCACTTTACGGAATACATCATTAAAGTAAGTATAAATTTTCTTTTAGCTAAATAAACCAGTTAAATTTTATTAATAATTATTTTTTATTACTTTTACAGGTTAAAGCCTGCCACGGTAATGAGCATAATTCTACATGTAGTGTTAATGGAATCACCACTGTTCGTACTTTAAGCCATGGTAAGTATAAAAAACTATTTAAGAATATGAACAAAAATGTTAGTTTTCAAAATTGACAAATATTAATTTTATCTATTGATTTTACTCCAAAATTCTAATAAAATTTTTGAATCTCAAAACTAAGTTTTTAATTTTGTGGCTTTGGATTAAAAAATTATTACACTAAAATCATTACTCATTTAAAAATTAGTTAATATATAATGCACAGTATACTCTTTAATACTCTTCAAAAAAAGAAAGCAACAGACTAAAGAAATTTTAAAATTTTTTGATACATTCAACACGCATGTAATTTTATTTTTGATTATAATTCAAGTATTATCAATTATTTAAAAACTGTATTTAAAAACATTACACATTTTTTAATGAAATAATTACAAGGGTTTTCGACATAATTTTGTTGTTGTTTAAATATTATAATTATTAATGAAATTCTATTCCACAATTGTAAACAATCAAGTAATAACAATAAAAATATATTTAAAAAAAAATATATGCAGAAATATTTTTCATTTTAAAATGATTCTATAAATTAAGATTTACAATAAAAATTTTATTAGAAAAACTTCTACATATTGTATTTCTTAAATTTGGAATTTTACTAAAGTTTCATTTATAAAGACAAGATGAATATTTGAATATCCTATTTATAGAGTTTCATTAAATTTTGAATTAATATATAATAATCTATTGAAATGAATGAACATTAACTTTTGTTTCATTTGTCTTCAAATTTAAAGAATGAAAACTGAATATTATACCATTTATATATATATTAATAAGTTATACGTTATAATTGTAATCAATATATAATGTATAACTTATATGACAAAGACTCAAACCTCTCTGGATTGATAGCAAAATGTCTGAGTATCAAAACCAAATAAAAGAATGGTATTAATAAAATAGTATATAAGACAGTTTTATAGACAGATTGGTTAATTCTATTCTTGTGTGTGTTTACAAAGTCAAGACATTGTTCAATATAGATGAGCAAAAGACACTTTTCTTCAAAGATGAGTGCTATAGACAAGTAGTAAAAAGTTTCTACGTGGATCATATAAAGAATGAAGTATAGGAAGGACATACAATAGATGAAAATAGCAAAAATATCCTAAGAAAATGACCCTGAAATTTTCAAATTAGTTTGGACATATCATGACTGAGGACTCCAAAATTATTTTTTGAAAGTCTCACAGATTGATACCCATTTCACACTTAACGATGTCATCTTGATCATCTTTTTCACTAGTTGAAAGATGTAATGACCTGCAAAACTGGATAAGCTTTATTTGGATTGTATTGTCACATACAATTCAATAGTTTTCAAAAAAGGATAGGATAAAGAAGAATTAATTTTTATCATTAATTTTGNGAATCATTTTTTGGAAAATATACATTGTTTGAAAATGCAATAACAAAAATATTTTTTTTTAATATGCTGTTTGTAGCATCAATTAAATAAATAGATTAATAAATAAATTTTTCAGAAACTGCCGATAATATAGACCCGAGTACTGTTCAAATCAATGCAGAAAATGCAAGCTCCGGAATAATATATTTGAAGTGGGACGAGCCGGAAAATCCAAATGGTTTAATTGTTTATTATCATATTGAGTACAAAATATTGGATAATAAAAATGTAAGGCGATAGCATTATTCAAAAAATAAGATTTTAAATACAAGATTTTAGTTTTTATCTTATTGTTGTTTTACAGATCGTTCCAATATGTATAACACAATTGCAATATCAACAATATAAAGGCTATCAGCTGTTTAATTTGGATTCGGGTAACTATTCTTTGAGATTAAGAGCCACTTCTCTAGCTGGAAATGGCAACTGGACTTCTCCATTTTTCTTCCACATTCCAGAAAGAAAAAGTA